GGGGGGGGGGGGGGGTGGGGGGGGAAGTTTGGGTAGAGTTAGAATGACATACCTTTTCTGTGAAATGAACCCACATATATATAGAGAAATGGTAATGAGCCGAGTGAATTTAGTGAGATGGGCCTAAGTTCAAGTCCAAGATGTCATTGTTTAATTAAATAGACTCAATCAATTAAAAGACAATGCCACATCGACATATATGAGACCCTCTCCATCTAAACATGCCACGTAATTTATAAGTGTAACATCGGACTTCAAAATATAAACTGTCAAGCAGGTAAGATCTTACAGATTGTCTCAAAAATATAAGCAACTCCAATAAGTAAGGACTTATGAATTGTCTTGAAAATATGTATCAATCCCAAATAGGCGAGGCCTTACGACCTCGAGAACATACATCGCTTCAATAAATGAGGACTCCGACTTACGAAGTGCCTCAAAAATATATGTGCGAGCCTGAATAAGAGATGGCTTTACAAATTGCCTTGAAAGATAGATATTGCATATAATTATTGAATTTCGACATCATCTCCTCTGTAATATGGACTAAACCAACTTGTAATACAATATAATATTTCCACTATACATATATGGACTAAATGGGGATCCATTTGCCCCTTAAATTACTCATGATGATAAAGTGAATAATGACAAATCAAATATCTTTGAGATAGCATCATGTATCATATTAGATAATATGCTATTGATAATAAAATGATAATATAGATAACGTGGCATGCGTACTAACTGTAATGAAAACAATGTTATGACATGCTAGTAGTGATGTGACATGCGTACTTCACAGCAATAATATAATGCATATGCTAGCAATAATAATGTAATAATACCAAGACGTTAGTCTCACAATAATCCCCCATGTCCATGTATGGATATTTATATAATGTATAGACTTTTTGGATAGAAACGAGGTTCTGAAGATAAACAATGTGATAAAGCTGATGCGGAAGCGAGATTCTGAACTGAATATAAACAATTGTACTCATACTGATGTAGAGGAAAACACTGAACTGAATATAATCAACTGTATTGATAATGATACAGAGGTAGACTCTGAAATGTATATATAGGCAACTGTGATAAAATGATGCAGAAACGATGCCCTGAATAAGAACAACTGTGATGAGCTGACATCCTTATATGGGGTGGTTCATCCATGCCAAAGGCTTCTTCCAAGTAGATAGTGTAGCCGTGGAAGGTATTCTTTTTGTAGTATCAAAGTAGGCCCACCCCTCTCCTTTCAAAGTGGTAAATTACACATTTACATGGTAGATGGTTCATTCATGCCAAGGGCTTTTTGCATGATGAATGGTTCATTCATGCAGGGAATAATGTAGGCTCTATGAAGATAGATATAGCTGTGATATAACTAATGTAGAGGCGATGCTTTGAATATACTTAGCTGTGATAAGTTGAGACAAACGATGCTCTGAATATAAGCAGCTGTGATAAGCTAAGATAGAGATAATGCTTTGAATATAAATAGTTGTGATAAGCTAAGGCAGAGGTGATGCTTTAAAAATAAACAACTATGACAAACTAAGGCAGAGACGGTGCTCTGAATATAAGCAAAGTTGATGCAGAGGTATGATGAGCTCTCTATCGTAGTCTTGTATAATGAAGAATTTCGAAAATCAAAGAATAAACATCTCGCATAGTGAGGTATCTCGAAAAATGTGGAATAAATATCTAGTGGAGGGCTTTCTCTTGGATTATCGGAGACTTCTAAGCTAGCAAATGGTGGACGAGGTCTAAGAGTTGGGTTCAACGATAGTGATGGGCAGGGAATAAACATCTCGCATAATCAAGCAATTTGTATAATGAAGTGAAAAATAAACATCCTGAGAAGCAATGGATAAACATCTCGCAAATGATTCTCTCGAACTATTAGAGACTTATAAGCTGGCTTCGAATGGACGAGAAGTTATAGCTGGGCTCGACGACATCATCTTACATGGCGAGCCATCTCAGAGAGTGAGGAATTAACATCTCACGTGAGGCATCTCGAAGGGCAAGAAATAATCATCTCATGTGGTGAGTCCAGGAAAGGCTCATTTTGCAAGGACAAAAACGTCTGGATAAGCCAAAAAGATGCTCATTTTTCAAGGGCAAATCGTCTTCCTTTATGCAATGAATGAGAACTCCAAGATACCGCATCTTCCTTTATTCAAGGAATGAGAACTCATAGAGCTGCATCTGATAATAAGAAATCCACCAGCTAAGGATTGCCTTCAATGATGCGATTATCATCTAATAATATAATATGTCGTCCATTCAGATAGAGAAGAAGGCATGATAGCAGAATTTACGAGTTTTCTTCGAGAAATAATGTTCAACTGATCCACTTTCATATCTCTAGATGTGAAGATGGAAGAATGAAAATGTTTTCGAGCATTTAAATTATGCCTTTCATTATGCCCCTATTTGACCCACATTATTTTTTTCATTCTCATTCTTCTACTCTTTTTTAACCACACATTCTTCAATAAAATAATATTTTCCGTCACATCAATAATTTTTCCTTCTTGTTC